CTGTAGTGAAAGTGGATGATTGTAATTAGCTGCCAACTATCTCTACCATAATTGGCAGATAATCAGTTATTTTGGTCATAAGTTCTTTCGAATAAATGAAGTAAGTACATATTTCTGTTCTCACAATGAGATTAGGCCCCATAAAAATGTCACTCTTGCAAATTCAATGTCAAATTTTTGACAATTAGCTTAGATAGCTTATCATTCTAATTTAGGTAGTTTGTTTATGTCTCTTTTTCCCACTAAAAAGGAAGGCATAACAGAGGTCTGCTGCTGGGTTCAGGCAAAACTATTGAAATGAAAATATTCTCTTGTTACAGATAACTTTTTTTTGAGAAAGAGATTGAAGAAGAGACTTGTTCCTTACACAGATAGATGTATTTTTTTTTCCTTTTCATTAAAAATTTTCTTCTTGGAAATAAATAATTAAATGCTAAAGTAAAGTACCTAACAATTAATCAAACAATATCATGCTCTCATTCATTTGATGCCTGTTATTTGCTAATGTGTGCCTTTCTGTTTTAAAAACATGTTCCAGATGAAATTTAATTCAAATATAGATATCTCATAAAGATACTTGCCAAAGCACACACTATAACTCATACTACTGTTATTAGCAAACCTTTAATAGGTAAAGCACTCATAAGCCTGCTTTACCACTTCTTTATCCTGATATTTTTCAGGCTTTTATAGCAAAGCAGCTTTTATAAATTGCTAGTTGTGTATACCAGTCATAAAATCATCAAGGCTGGAAGAGACCTTTAAGATCATCAAGCTCAACTGTTAACCTGTCACTCCACTATAACCCCTAAACCCTAAACTGTATCTTACAGTCCCAGGTCCAGATACCTCTCTGGGCAATCTGTTCCACTGCCTGACCACCCTAATTCTAATATCTACTCTGAATCTCCCCTGTCTTAGCTTATGACCATTCCCTCTAGTCCTCTCACTGATAGCATGGCAGAAGAGATCATCTCCCACCTCTCTACAGCCCCTTTCAGGTAGCTGTCACCCCTGAGCCACCTCTTCTCAAAGCTAAACAAACCAAATTCCCTCAGCTGTTCCTTGTATGACATGTGTTCTAGACCTTTTATGAGCCTCATTGCCCTTTGCTGGACTTGCTCCAGTGCCTCAATGTACCTTTTAAAGTAAGAGGCCCAAAACTGAACACAGTACTCGAGGTGTGACCTCACCAATGCCGAGTACAGGGGGATGATCACTTCACTAGTCCTGCTGGCCACACTATTCTTGGTCCAAGCCACAACGCCGTTGGCCTTCTTGGCCACCTGTGCACACTGTTGGCTCATACTGAGCCAGCTGGCCACCAGCACCCCGAAGTCCCTTTGTGACAAACAACACTTGAGCTACTTTTTCTTGAGGCTGAACAAACCGAATTCCCTCAGCTGTTTCTCATACAACATATTTTCTAGACCTTTTATGAGCCTCGTTACCCTTTGCTAGACTTGTTTCAATGCCTCAATGTCCTTTTTAAAGTGAGGGGCCCAAAACTGAACACAATGCAACTCAGTGTCATCTGCAAGTTTACTGAGGGTGCACTCAATCTCCATGTCCAGATCATCAACAAAGATGTTAAACAGGACTGGCCCAAATACTGAGCCCTGGGGAACACCACTAGCTGCCAATTGGATTTCACTCCATTAACACAACTCTCTGGGCGTGGCCATCCAACCAGTTTTTTCCCCATTGAAGACTCCACTCACCCAAGCCACAAGCAGGCAGTTTTTCTAGAAGTGTGTGGTGGGAGACAGTGTCAAATACTTTACTGAAGTCCAGATAGACTATATTCACAGCTTTCCCCTCATCTACTGAATAGGTCAGTTTGCTGTAGAAGGAGATCAGGTTGGTCAAACTCAGTTCTTTTCTTATGACAGTATGAGGGAATTGGGCTAAGACTAGAGAAAACTGAATAGGTAAGACCTGCTGTAAGGTGCTTGCATGCAGTGCTGGTTAACCTGTCCTTCTGTGCCTGCTACAGTTAATGGAATTGTTGTTCAGATAAGTTTAGTGCTTTTTAATGTTTGGAGTTGTAAAAAATTTTTAACACTTTCAGGTTTTTTCCATTTGGCAAGGAAGAAGAGCATCTTGTAGTTTGCATCAGTTCCACATATACCCTGAAGTTATTTTGTCAAATCTATTTTGCCCACTTTGCTTACAAGGATGTTGTGTGGGCTGTGATGTGTCTTAGATATGTAACAGTTCTGCTCAATCAGCAAGACCTGCTAGTCTGACACAGGGAAAAGCTAAGCAAGTTTGTTCTGCTTTGGTATAGCTCTCTGCATACTTGATGCTGGGTGCTACAATATGTTCTCAGTGTAACTTGTCATTTCTTGAAATGAAAGTTTGGCTGGCTGCTGTATAATTTCCTTCTACTCCCCACCTTGTCCTCCTCCTTCTCCTCTTGAGATTGGCACTCAATTTCAGTTTTACAGGACTTTACCCGTTTGCTATGGTACTCAAAGGGAATGTCTGTCAACAGACATTGTCTTGCAGATTGTCTTAATTACTGGAGGGATTAACTTTAACAGGTCTGGCCCATTGAAAAACATCTGATTTCTTTAAATAGTCTGTAGTCTTTTTTTCTGTTCCAGCCTATATCTTTTGCCCTATTATTGCTGCTTTCAGTCATTTGATAATTTCTGTTAAGGAACGCAGGAGGAAAAACCACATGCATCTCTGAAGCCCTTGCAGAGTGATCTTGTGCTTTTCTTGGGGATTGGCACACCAGCTGTTTCCTTGGGCTTCCTTTTTCCTATCAACATGATTTTGCTGTGCTTGCTTTTTAGAACAAGCTAGGAGAATTAATTGCTTGTGCTGTGTTTGACCAGTATATTTGAACTAAAGTTTGATTCCCTGGTTGAGGGAATCTTGTCTCATGTTCATTTTTTGTCTTCAACTGCAACATAATTTTGGCATTTAAAAGGTTCATAAGATATTTACCTTCATAGGAAGCAGGCAGGAAGAAAAAAGTTGTGTAAAATGTGTCCAAAGTGGCAGGCAATTTTGAAGTGCCATAAATACAGACTTAAATCTTCATAAGTTTTAGTTTGTGTGTTTGTTTTAGTTTGTGGGTTTTTTTTTGGAATGGCATAAAGTTAAAAAAGAAAAAGAGAGAGCAGATCAAGAGGGAATTTTGATAGTTAATCGATGGTGTCTTTGGCTCAGTTAATATTTTTAGTTAATTGACTGTCGTTGCCCCTGTGCAGTATACTTGGGAATGTGCTCAGTAGGTATCATAGCTGCCTGTAAGGGGCTGCTTGAGTTTTAGCAAACATCCAGGCCTTTTGACTTGCTTATCCATTCTGATAGACTCAGCAGTATGCAAACTTCATAGTATTGTGATGAATCTGGCCAGTTTAATTACAGGTTTATCTGGCTGAATGTGAACACAGACCAGAGCAAAGAAAATTCATTTTTCAAATCACGTTGTATTGTGGCTAGCCTTTAGAATTGTTCCTGTGCTCGGTGTAACTGCATCTGATAGCATTTGCCATAAGCTTCTTTCAGAAGTTTTATCTTCTGCTCATCGATTTATTTCTGTGAGATCTTTTAGCACTACAAATGATGTGTCAATGGTATTGCTCAGTCAGCAGTCCTCATTTTAAATGTCAGAATTTCTGTGGGGATCCGTCAAGGCTCCCTGCTTTATCTGCTTCTGGCTTCTGTAACCTTGTCACAAATTTTTTTTTATAAGTCTGAAGATACTTTCCTAACCCTTGTTAGTGAGAACTCTGCTTTCCCAGTCTGTGTGTGGTTCCATCTGCTGTAGCCCATTTTTATGTTTGTGCTTGACGTCTTTGGAAGATGCAGAACTGAAAGAGCCTTTCTGATTTAGCAAATCCACCTCCCTGTTGCCTTGGGCTGTCACACAACAGGAGGAAACTGTCAACTAAAACCCAAGATAGTTAAGCGGAACTTGTGATCTTTTTATTCCTCCACACCTCAAACCATTTTTAACAGCTTGGACACTATTATCTTCTCAGTTGTCTTATATTCCTAATGTCACTTTTAGCTTGGCTTTCATCCATGCAGTAAACACATTCTGGTGCTGCTTTGTTTATAGCAGCAAAGTTTTGATCTTTCTGCTCGTTCTGTATCACTTAAATTCTCACCAAGTCCTTACACATTTTGACATAATCAATTTTCACCTGCCCTACCTTTAATTGCTGCAGTATAACCACAATGGGTCTGTCAGATATTTTGCTATCACAATAACCTCCCTGTTGTTTTTCCCCTTTTCTCCTGATCATCTGTGCAGTACATTTTATCTCAGCTTTTCAAGATCTACAATGCATAATCCTCCTTGTCTCAGTCCTGATATAGAGAATGAGTTAAACCACCACTAAGTTCCATCAGTGTTTCTGGGGCTCACTGCACCACTTTTCACCTTAGGCAAAAATGTCAGGAAAAAACCCCATGTGAATAGCAATTATTCTGTTTCAGGTCTCCTCTCACAGTTGTTCTCTGCCATGAAGCCTGGAAGAAACTTCTGGTGGCCTTTGTAGTCAGCTTGAATTTATCTTTCTTCCAGAACATCAGTTGTATTTTACTTAAACTAGGCACAGCTCCTATAAGCAGCAAAGCCCATGCGTAAGCAGCATTCCTTTAATATGTCTCCGTATTTGGTTGCTGTCAGATTGAAGATACTGTATACCCAAGGGTGAGAAATCAATCTCCCCAAAAGGCAGTTGGGGTAAAGCCTGTTTGGGTGTTAAGGTGTAGTAAGAAGTTTGTTCTCTGTCTTTTATTCTTTTTTTTCTTTTTCTTTAGATACTGATTTACATGATCTGATTTTTTTCACCTCTTTTTACACCATACTGTTCAGATGTAAAACTCCGTGGTTGTCTTTAGATTCAGGCTTGATTTAAATTACACCTTAGAATTCAAAACATTCCTTCATCTTACCTGGCATCTGAAACTGCTCAGCTGGAGCCATCCTTGCTCTTTTTGTGGGTTTTAATTTGTTTAATTCTTTGTTTTAGGAGGTCTCTGCTGATCCTGCAGGAACTCTCACAGCTGCTGAAGAGAGAAAAGAGAAGGTGCCAAGCCCCCATCTCAGTCATCTCGTTGTTTTGACATCTGGCAATTCACTGTATGGTTTGGCAGAGAGAGTGGTGGCCACAGAATCCTTGTAGGTTGTTTACTGTACACGATATTTTGTGATCACTGAAAACTACAGATTGTTTAAGAAATTGTGATTAAAAGCCAAAACCTTCTTGAGAGGTCAAAATTTCCTACCTCTCAATGTGACTTTAAATATGAGGGGTAGAGGTAATTTCTTTGTTAAAGGTAGTGGATCCTAACTATTTGGTCTATCAACCTGCACAATCAATTTTACTGCAGATGGTCCAGTACTTTGTGACAATACAAGGCCAAATCTAACAGGAGAAAGGTTTCATTTTAGAGAGGCTAATGGGAGTATTTAATCTGTGTGATTCATCTTAACCTTAGATTAAGTTCTCAAATAGTGATGGCTGAGACTCAAGACTGTTTGGTTCATATTGGTTTGGCTTGAATTATCATGTTCTTTGCAATGGGCAGAAGTGTACCTGTGAAGAAGTTAGAGCAAGTAATGCAAAAGTTACAAAGTGGTTTTTATTTGATCAGAATAATAGTAAGAATCATTAAGATAGGAATTGGTTTTTCCCCACACAAGGTGACACTTAAAGATTAGAAGTTCATTTGAACAATATTTTTTCATTTATGCATACTTAGAAATTTATTTCCTTGTTATGTTGTTATTAACAAATTCTACCCTTGAGAAGGAATAGGAGATCAAATTCTATCTTATGGATTCACTAGTATGTAAGTAGTTAGGAATGTTATTTTGGAATTCTGACATGGATTTATTAACAGTAATGTTTACTGTCCTGCAGTATGGAAATTGCATGACACTTGGCCACTGTCTTTGCTAGATCTTGGATCAGATTTTTGCAGCGTAACCTGAGTAAAATAGAAATATGAATTATTGATATTCAAGCCTTAATCTCTTTATTCAAGCATATTTTAAAACTGTCAGAATTGAGAATACTTGTTGATATGCTGGCATGAAACTTTTATGGTTCTTCTCAGGACTTAATTTTCCGAGGTTGCATATTGTTGTTGCCAAATATGTCAACTGTAGAGTAAAAATTGTAAAGAGATGTGCCAAATGTTGCATTTAGTTCACGGTAAATTTTCTTTACTTTCAAAGGGTATTTCTGGCTGAGCAGTTTGAATTTCTTCAACCTCATCTTGATGCAGTGATGCCAGCTGCCAAGAAGCCTTTTCTTCAGCAGTTCTATTCTCAGGTCAGAATTGTGTAATTCACAGCTGATTTTTAAACACAGAGATTTGAAACTTGTACATTTTGGTGCAAATACTTATACATCATTGTTTTGTATTGCTCTTAATAGCCAGAAATTTACTGAATTGAATTTTATTTATATTCTGTTTCAGACAGTGTCAACTGCCAGTGAACTGCGTAAACCAGTTTATTGGATTGTTGCTGCTAAAGCCATTGATTATGAACAAATGCTGCTTCTCATGGCTAATGTGAAATGGGATGTGAAGGAAATCATGTCACAGCACAATGTATATGTAGATGCTCTTTTAAAGGTGAATACTTTCTGAGAATCATACAATCAACTAGGTTGGAAAAGACCTCCAAAAATGATGTGCTGGAGTTTATGTAAAAATTAAGTTACTGTAATACTTCACTAAAACTGTTAAAGTAGCATGGCTAGGACAATACAGCATTCTGACAAATGGAAAACTATTTTAAGAAGATCTGTCCAGAATTGTCATTATTTTTGCTTCTAGCACATTGTTTTCTGTGATGATTTTTGGATTACATGGTGGATGAAAGTGGCCACAAATTTTTATGAGTTTCATGTCTAAGTCTTGAATGACAGAGAAATGTGTAATAAATGGAGTAACATCAAGGAAAACCCAGTGGCATGAGACAGTGTGTTTTGGTTTTTTAACAAAGGCTATTTGCTGTTCTGGATAATTCTGATGATTGTCTTTGAGATGTATCACAGGGGCTGTAGGTCAAATCAGCACAGTGCTGTATCTAATTGAAGCTGCTATACTTAGAAGGTAACATTTGAAAAGGAAGGTAAGGGAAGGTTATTCACCCAACTTCTCAATTGCATTCAGTAGAAGTGGTTATACAATTGCTGTGTCTTACGGCATACATAACCAGTTCTTGGGACAATCCCTTTCTCATTCTTTTTTATATGCCTAAATGATCTTTCTATTGGTCTCTAGAAGGAAGTTCTGGCAGTGGTGGAATTATAATAATTCTTACAGAGAAACTGCAAATTTTTTGTATAGAAATGTGAAGTATGTATCACAGAAAAAGCTACATATCGGTGTTGAATAACAGTTTTGATAACACCTTTACACTTTAGCTTTTCCCTGCTTAAAAATATCAAGGCAAAGAAGGAAGAATTTGACAGAGGATATATCATTGCACTGAATTTGATGGAATCTTTGTGAATACTGTTCTTTATGCTGCCATGGCTTTTTAAAATCAGTTTGTACTTAAAATAGTTGGTCTCTGGGATAAAACCTTTTCCTTTTGTGAGTATGCAGCTGCTGATGAATTTGCTTCAGGAAGATCCGAGCTAATACCATTTTAAACCAATTCTGTTCTCTACATCACATAGCTAATAGTAGTTGTTCCAAATCATTTAGATTGCTGCTAAGCAATTAGTGATTTGCTGTGTACACTGGGACTCCAGGAATATCAGATGTAAGCACAGTGTTTACAGTAATGTGCACACACATGCAAAATTTTGTATTCGGTCATAGTGTGTGTGTAAGCAGGTAAAGTGAGGCTTTCTTGTTCAAGAAATTGATTATCATGGAGAGGTAGTGGTCTTCATCTTTAGAAGGGTGAGTTGTATGCTGGTCAAAGCATGACATCGTGGTACTCTGCTGCCTCTTCTTCCCAAATTCTTCTTTCAGAAAATTTGTGTTAAACACAATTGGCTACTGAGATTCCCTTCTAATTTTCTTCAGTTACTGAATTTTTGATGGTGGGAGGGGAAGAAAAACCCCACTAGATTAACAGCCTTGGAATGAAAGTGCTTTGTTGAACAACAGTGATCTTAATAGGCTGTACTACAAACTGCTTTTGATGGTTGTACAGAGGGTTCATTACCAGTCTGCTTTGTATTTAAGTAATTTGATACTTTTTTTAAATGATAGAGGCATTAGTCACTGGCAGCAGACTTCTGTTTCACTGTATTTAACACAAAGCCATTGTGGCAGTAATTATGTTCAGTTCTGAGTAGTTTCTCACTCATAGTATCAGCTCAACTCCATCCAGACTGTTGATGTTTCATGTGGAAATAGGTGGTTTCCCTTAACCAGAATTGCTATCTAGTGCTGCAGTATGCTCCTAAACTGTTTGGCCTCTTTCAGTGGGTGCTCTCAGCTCCTTTTAAAGCACTGAAGGACTGCCTGATGTGGAAGGTTGAAGATGAAAAGTGGTTACAATATTTCTGAGCTTCTGTTTGAAAGCTGATGGGGTGGGTATTTAGAGGGATAAAGAGATCATCACTGGATTTTCTTCAGTGGCTGCATATTGACTTAAAGAAGTTAAATATGAGTTTAAGGAGTGAAGGAAAATGGCATTAGAAAGATAAGCTGCTGAGTTCGTTTTCAGAGGTGTCAATTTCACACAAAAGTACACCTCTGGGGAACAGAGAAACATTTCCTTTTAAAAAATTAAAAAATCCCTGAGGTAATGTGAATGATATACTAGAAAGTGGTATGTTTTCTACTTTGCACATTAAACTTGTCTCTGCAGTCTGTGCCTATTAAGCTTTCTCAGCTCTTATTTTTCAGTATTCTCTTTCATGTCGATTTCTAATTCTTTGTTGTTGTTGTTAGACGTATAGAGTGTGATCCCTTTTATTTTAAAGGAATAAACATCTTCTATGTTTTATCAGGAATTTGAAGAATTTAACAGAAGGTTGAATGAGGTGTCTAAGAGAGTCCGTATTCCACTGCCAGTCTCCAACATCCTTTGGGAACACTGTATACGCTTGGCCAATAGAACTCTTGTGGAAGGGTAAGTGGTTCATGAAAGTTTTGCTTTTGGGTAAGTATGTCTATAAAGATAATGCTTACTTTATGGAATTAAAAGATTAACTTTTATAATGCCCTTGTGAGCTCACGTGCTTTTGGAGAACCTAAAGAATATCAATGCTTCACATACTCCTTAGCAGTTGTTTCAGAGTCTAGTGCAGTGGTAAGCCTAAAAAGGTTGGACTTTTTCCTGGATACTGCTAAAGACTGACATTGAATGTTTTACTAAAGCATTTGTAGACACAGTTCTCTTTCAAAGAAACTTATATATGTAAGATTAACATTTCCCAGCAGGGCAAAGAAGGAAGTTAGTGTAATTGTCAGCACCACCATGGTGATGCCATTTGTCTTTGTCAGGAAGAAGGATGGAGTTGTCAACCCTAGCAGTTATTTTAGAGTAGCCACAGAACAGGATTTTTCCAAAATCGTCAGGAACAGAGGGGTGTCTTAGCTGACTTGGTCAATAGAAGCTCAAGCACTTTAGCCAGGAACTGCTACACCTTGCTTATTACTCCCTCTTAATCAGTGTCCCAGTCTTTTCAGATTCAATATTGTAGCCTGAAATTGTAGACTTTTCATCCACTGCATTTATTTTATATTTTGTCACCTTGCGACATGTCTGGGCTTTCCTCACAACTTCTTCTGCATCATAGAGCATATGCTGTCTTCCACTCCTTCTACATATGTTCCCATACTTCTTTCCTGGTTATCTTTATGCACTCCCTACTACTTATTTTACTTCTTTCCATCCCACTCTCCTGCTGCCTGCTCTAAATTAGGACCTCAGCAAAACATCCTTCTTTTCCAAGCGTTGTCTGCTTTCATCAAGCCATCATGGTTTAACTCATGCTCATTTCTTTTGCAGTCTTTTGAGAGATCAGTTTCATGTTCAGGGCAATTAAATCCAGCCATGTCCTCCCACTGGCTTCTCAGTTCTTTCATATGACATATCACCTATACAACTGTCTTTTCTTTTTGAAATTTCGTTTTCCACTTACCATGCCTTAAATCAAAAGAAGTGAAAGAAAGGCATCTCTCTTCTCCTTCCCGTCCCCATTTCCTTTCAAGTGGATAACACGATCAGTCCCTATCAATCTCAACTACATGAGTCCTTGCATCTGTTTTGAACTTGTTTCCTTACGTCACAATCTCAGGTGTCTTACATGACCTCAGTGTTCACAAGCCATGTAATTCTTAGCTCTGACGATCATCACTCATATGTCTTGCTCAACGCTGCAGTTTTGGTTCACACTTGTAACATACCATAAAGCTTTCACCTTTACTGTCACCTAAGCGTTTCACTGGCTGGTCAGGGTGGACTGGGAATACCTTGCTGATATAATTTGTCCCTTGCCCTTTCTGAGAGTGTAAAGAGTACTCAGTATCATCTCCTTCCAAATATCTGCCTGTAATTTCTCACTCTTGGCCAGTTGTTTCAGTTCTCACACGACTTGTAGCTTCTTTTCCCGCTGAGGAAAGGGAAGGAAGGTATTCTGAGCAGCTGATTCTCTGAATACCTTCGTAACTTCTTTCATCTATGAATTCCATGAATGTATGGAATTAAAAAACATGGAGTGCTGCTCCTCCGGTCAACCAGTCAGCTAAAATTGCTATCATCAAGCTCTTCACTGAGTGAAGAATCATCTCCACTACAGTCAGCTATATCTTTCTTTAAATTTTGCCCTTCTGTATCTTCTGATTCTATGTCTTCTCCTGTTTCCCAACTGACGAGCCTATTG